AATGTCACTTGAGCGTTAATTTTAGATTATATCAAAATCGCATCACCTTCGTTATTTTCTATTCTGTTTCGTTCGTTTCTTTATATACAAATATTTCGCCATATGAATTATTCATCGGGTTATTTCGATTTCATCGGAGATAACAAATTTCGTTTTAAATCAAGCAATCGGTATATAAATTTCTTCTTCTTTATCAACTTACTCTACCAATGTGTTCATCGTGATCAACGTTTCTCCACTTTGCAGGTTGGCTGAAACATTCAAAGTATACTTTTACGTCTTATAACGAACACTTTTCGACTGATTGAAGGAATACGTTCTCAAGGGAATAAAATGAAATTTTCCCGACCTAGATTCGTTCCTATGGCGGAGAAACTCGTACAGTTGTAACGCGAACCTGTAAATAATAATCTAAGTTAGTTTCTCGAGACGCGCGCGTACGAAGAGAGGAGCTGCTGGAAATTTTGCGAAAGAACGGACCCGCGTGTCGAGTGGCGAAAAGGGACTTGCTCGCTGTTTCGTTCAACGCTCGCCTCTCCTTCCTGCTGAAAGAGCCGTATATCTCTTCTTTCCTTAGAAAAGCAACGGAATAGCTAGCCTGAAAGTACATGGAAAACAGGCTTCTTGAAAGAAACAACCGATCCATTCAGGTGGAATCTTTTTCAAAACTCGCTAAATCCACTGTGCGTATAACTGTCGTGTCCACGTTTAAGTACAAATGTGAATTTTCTGAAAGAATTTGAACGACGATTACAATACATTACGAAAATCGTCGTTGTTTGATTATTTCGATTAGATGATTTGATACTGTAATTTTTGCACTGGGTAATTAATCAGGCAGAAGCGACAAAAGTCTCGATACTTTCGCATATTTACGAAGACGCATCGGTATGTCGTACCTTATAAATTTCAATAACTTTACTCTTTTGGAACTTTTGAATGGAAAAGTTGCAAGTTTCATATGAGTCGCTCGGTACTGACTTCCAAACAACACCGATGTTAAAAATCGGAGAGCAGATGCGAAGCATTCTTATCAGCATGGAAACTGAACTTTTGTCGGACTCTGTATATTATCGTTTTTGCGATCTAGTACGCGACTTGAAAAAAAGCAATCACGGAAGCCATAAATCAAACTAGAGAAAACGATAAGCTAATCGGATTTGTCGGATTAGAATTTAAATCCAAATATATCATTTTAAGCGATAAATACATTCGATCTGTCTTTCTAATTCTTTTATCCAAAATGTTTGTTTTGTCTGACAAATGTCTGACAAAAAGACTCACTTGCCTTTGTAACAAGTGTTACTCATTTGTAGTCAGAGTGGAAACTTTCTTTTATTAAAAACCAACCGCACGAATAAATCTACTTCCAAGAAGGAGAGTCAACAAGACAGAAAACGAGAAAAGAAAATGACGATCTAACATTGGCCGTTTCGTTCCACGTTTTAGCTGGCTACAAAAATCTCTGCCGTGCAGATTCAAACGTTCACTCTTTTGTTATGCTCGAGAAATGAAATGAGCGCACGGCTGGATCATTCCCAAGTTAGGTCAATTGTTGTGAAAGCAACGAGTCCTGATCGAGGCAGCGAGCCTTCGACATCGGCCAAATCTCGTTCGACGCGCCTGTATTCTTCCAAAGATACCGTTCGCAGGAGAATTTTCCAATACCCCGGCTTCGTTATCACGATGCGCAAGTTTGTCATGCTCTTTATTCACCGTGAACACGAATTGGATGTTTCCTCGACATTGAACGTGCGAGCCGCTTAATTGAACGAAGTAGTATACTTTATTGTCGCGAGGATTGATAAAAATAAATGATGCAAGCGTCGATACTCGGAATTATTTGATAACGAACGGGTGATATTTTAATAATTGATTTGCCTGGATTAATTATGAAAATGGGATTACAATAAAAATCATTTTCATACCGTAATGTGTCGCGAGTATTTTTGTAATTGCTCGTCCGATCGGTGGAATCGAATAATATCGAAGAGAATTGAATTAAATTTTGATTTCAATAAGGATAACGGAAAGCGGATTAAGTTAATATGGCGATATTGCAGTTCAAGTTATAGCAAGAATGGTAGCGTACATTGTACAGAGCGATGGATATTTTCGTGTTTCGTCAGATTTTGCATGCAAAGCGCTTCTTCCAGCGGAAGAACTTAGTAGAAGCGTTATCAAAAAAGTTGGAAATACTTTGCACTCGAGTTAAATGTATAAGCTGTAAGAGGTTGGAAAGCAATCCTGAGAAAATCTCGTACTAGTTGTTCGATGAAAATTCTGAAACATAAAATATTTAAGACCTTTCAATTTATCCGTGTGATACTTGTGACCAAGAACAGGATAATCAAAGATATTTCACGTTTCTATTTCGTTTATTACCTTGCAAAGGCGTTCTCTTCTTCCAACTAAATTCACCAAAATAAATATCCTATTTTCATCTTATTCAACGCTCCATAAAGAATCCTCGAGCATCTAAAACGGATAATATCCTCGAAGCCCGCTTGGGCAATCAAATATCGATACTGCACGTTTCACATCGCAACCCAATTATTAGCACCCCGTGCGTGCCGATACATCAAAACCATTCTCTACGGCACAATAAAAATTGAGTTTTCTTCGGGATTAAAACGAAGCTTCCAATCGCGCGGACGTGCCGGATTGTTCCAATAAGGCGGGCAATCCGACTTATATTTTTTTCCAGCAATCGCCTAGCCAGATTGAAATGGAAATACGCGAACTTCGATGGTACGGGTGTCGCGCGTCGGAAACACGAAGAAGAGGAGGAAACGCGGCGAGTCGCGAAACCTGCGAAACGGCCGCGCCCGACAGACAAATTGCATTAAATCTCCATTGGCGGCGCGTGGAAAATATTGACGCCGTCGCGCAGCCGCTTTCGCGTAAATATTGATACTCTGCGAATGAATCGTACCGGTTGCATCTTTCATGTGATCGCCGCTTTCGTTCTCAGTTCGTTTGCTCTTCTGGATGGAAAATAAACTGGAGAAGAAACGAACGAACTCTGGTCTAGAAGCATATTCGTATAGAGTCGTAATTCTCTTCTTTGCAGACGTCGCGAGCTTTTCGGTATCTTTATGTTCGTAGTAAAGCATTCACCGTTCAAACTGTCTGCACATACTTGTCTTATTTGCATGTTTCAAAAGAGGATTACCAGTTTGTTTGTCTCTATGCAGGTCTGTGTGAGTGTGCGTGTGCGTTAAGGCTTGAATATTCGATGTACGAGAAACGCAGTTGAAGAATACTATGTAGAAGCGAAAATTGACAAATTGGTGGAAATAATAAAGAATTAATTCGAGTGATGCTGTTACTTGTACTTACTTCGAGTACTTGGATTACTTGTACTACGATGAATTGAAAATAACTATCTTGCGATTTGTAATGAGACAAAGTGGTAATTAGATGTTTGTAGATAAATTGGAAATTTGAACGAGAGGATAGGTGAAGCAGATCTAAATCGAATGACTCTGTACAACGAACGCTACTATAGCAATCGATGCATTTCGGACAATGTAACTAAATTGAACGACACTCTAGAATGAATGCAACTTAACTGTTCAATTTTCTGCGCGTTAAAATCTTTTAACAGATACGTTATCGTATAATAAAATGATGCCGAATATTCGACAGTCATCTAACGTATTATCGCAAGATATTTTCTATTTTTAATAAACTCGTGTAATAAGATCAAATAACTTTCGTAAGTTCGTCGCTGGTTCTTTTATTAATTTCAATTTACCAGAATGTTGTAATGTATAAATTGAATTAGAAGAGAAAATAAAAGTTCTTTCTTCGCGAACATGAAACATTCTTGAGAAAAGGATTGTCTGACCTAAATAAAAGTGATCTATTATTAACACCCTGAGGAGGTCTGAAATAATTTGATGTTCACCTTTCGTGACTGCAAACTTACACGTGAGTTTCATCCTTTTATCTGTGATCTGTTTAAAGTAATTACGATAACAGACGGCACACTACGCAAAGTAATTTGCAGAAAGATGTATCACGACCGATATAACGCGCGAAAAATGCCAGAATAATTCGTCTACGTTTTCATACCTCCTCGAATATCAAACAGTTGTCAATCTGTTCTGATATTTCCATTTCATACGATACTTGATTTCGCATTACGTATCCAACGATAATTTTTTTCCCAAGTTTTTAAATCTTTAAGATTCTTAAAGATGTATGGTGACAGTTCCAGAAAATTATATTAGTATTGCTACAGTAATTATTTTCTAATTCTCTGGAATAATATATCTCCCATCACTTTTCCTTCCACTTTTGAGTATAATTTCCTAAGAAGGTATAAGAAAAATTCATCAGAAGTAGAGCCTGCTTGACGTATTCGGGCACTTTTGCTTCTACATCATATTTTATTCATCAAGGTATGATTGATTGCCTTGATTTACAGGGGTTCGTTCAAAAAAGGCTTCGGTTAACTGTTATCCTCTCCGGTGAGCAGACTGATCTAATCAGCCGAAATGATCTAATCGAAAAAGTGCCGAGTTTCTCCTGTTCAACATAGAAACATATCAGTAAAAAAGATTTATACGTATTTCGATTAATTGATCATTGTCGAATCTTCGAAGTAAGTTCGAGTCAAATTATAGTAAAAGAAGGCAATGCTTTTACATTTAACAATAGTTTTCCACTGATTCAGTGTTTTAAAATTCTACTATGATAATATTAACATTCGAGAATTTTAATACCGTTTTTAAAATTATTAAACTTTTCCTCTCCATATCTTTCGATCTGTGCTTGAACATCTTACTATTATATCGTTATTTCGTTCGTCTTATATACCATTATACTATCGTTTTTCATATTGTTCATCGATATTAACGCGACACTAAATTGAAAAATAAGGATTCGCCTCAAGAATGTTATCTTTCTTTTACCATTCTTCTACCATTCAATATATCATTCGAAAACAGATATCTCAATAAACCGATGATACTACAATTTGGCTATTTCAGTGGAAGAAGGTGATGGCCCGTACCACGCGCTCGCGACGAAAAATGGCGAATACGACTGATGCTCCCTCGCCTGCGAGCAGCCTTTTGTCGTCCACCACGACGACCCCGTTCACCAGCCCGACATCGACAAGCTACTCCACCGAGGGCTATACCTTCAATTACAGCGGCCTTCCCAGCCTAGGTGGCTACTCATTGGAGGATTTGAATTACACGGAACTCTGGGTGGACGTATGGAATAGCACCGAGGCCAGTAACGTGACTGAGAGGTTAAATACCACTGTACTGTCATCGGGAGCAGGCTACTGCGACGAATGGGAGGCAGCGCAACACAAACTCTTCCAAGTAAACTCTCTTCTTCATTTCTATAAACGTAGCAATAGCTTGAGTTTACGGGAATTGAGCCATAGATCCGATAGATCGATATTCTATTCGTACTATATTCTAATAAAAATTTGACTTTAAGGCAATCGCTGAAAGAAACAATGACGGTCTAATTAAATTGTCAAATTAATCATGTATCACACAGTGATAACGAAAATGGGAACTTTCGATAAATTTAAACTAGTACTCGTTTATCCGTTGCTGGTCGATAACACCATCGCCATCTTTATCGCCACTTTATTTAACGGGCAATGGATTTAAACGATACGTGAAAACGAATCGAGCAACGAGAACTATTTATCAACTGGACGAGTTTTGGAAACTATAGCGATATTTTTCAAGCTTTCATCGGCGTCGGTCAGAATATAAGAAAAATTGCAGGTTCATAATTTTTCATTCGCTGTACGTTTTAAAAATCTCTTATAGCGTTTAACTAATTAAAAAAGCAACGAAAGGAAAGGCAAACCAAGAAATACGTACAAATTACTATGCTTTAGTGATTACAATCCCATACATTCCGTACATGAGTTTCTTCGTTAAAAAAAAAAAAACAGCCATGGAACAAGTCTTCGACAGTTTGACGAAAAAAGAACGCGAAAAATCGTAGCTTCCATCTAGGCAGTAGATTCCGTGCAACTAGGGTGGTCTCCAGACGGTCAGTTGAATTTTCTCGGAGCGAGACGAGGCAATCTTGCCGGCTGATGGATTCTCACGGGGAAACCGTTTCGATTTGCCTTTTGCCAGGCGGCGAATCTGTTCTTCGCAGCGGCGTTCCTGGTGCCGCGTTCTTTCAAGGCCTCAGTACTGGCACTGCGCACCTTTCTCACGGCTGGCTTCATGCTGGCCGCTCTCTGGGCTGGAATTACCATATGCGCCCTGGACGCGATGCTATGGTGTCTGGCTCTCGGCCTTCTGAACGGAATCCATTCGCTTATACTAGCCTGTCGATTTCTGCCTCCCGCGCTCAGCCCCGAGCTGGCTGAGCTCTATCTGAAACTCTTTAAGCCGTACAAGGTCAGCAAGAAACACTTCCAGGAGCTGGCCAAGGAGGCAAGGATATTAAAGCTGGACTCCGGTCAGACGTATGCGACAGAAGGCGTCACACCCGCCGACGAACGACTATCGATACTGTTACGTGGCAAGTGAGTATTACGCGACCGTGTCTGTAAAATACAGTGATTCGCGAGAGTGTTTGAAAACTTATGTGTATACGAACGTATACACGAAGGAAGAAACAACTCCAAATTAGTCTGCAGCTTCTAATCTCTCGCTACATATTTCAAATTATTGCTTCGGTTTTTGAAACATGTAAACTTTACGATTTTATAACCACACTGAATCTCTTTCATCGATCATATATTCAGAATTTATCGAAAGATAAAATCGAGTCAATAGATAACGTCCCTTTACCGGTGTTTGATCTTCCGGAAGAGATCGAACACCGGCAAAATTACTATTCGCCCCTCGCACCTCGGTGAAATCTTCTCGAATTCTGGCACCCTCCGGAAGTGGTTCGCGAGAAGTTTGCGTCTGTCATCTCGTATTCTTCCGTATCTTGTTTATACTGTTGATACAAAACAGCCTCTAGCTTTATGTAGTAGCACTAGCTTTCGAAGAAACGTGGAAACTTCAGAGTGTTTAACGAATGGTTCTGTGGAGTTCAGGTTGAAGGTGACCTGCGACGGAACACACTTGCATTACATCAAAGCTTATCAGTTCGTCGACTCGCCGGAATGGGAGGCCATGCACGAGAACATCGACGACGTCTTCCAAGTGACGATTCGAGCGGAGGAGTCTAGCACGTACATCTGTTGGACCAGGCTGAAGTTGCTCAGGGTACTCAGGCATAGGCCCCTGCTCAAGGTCGTCCTCAACACCCTCATCGGTAAGGACATTACGTCCAAGTTGTACGCCCTTAACGAGCAGCTCGCTGGTGTCGCCGCGGCCAGTGAGACAACCACGTCGAATCCTTACAGGGGCGTCGCGAGAAGTCTTAGCGTCGACGCTGTAAACACTGAAACTGCCGGAAGAGTACGATCCACGACGTGGAAGGCACAAAGGAGGCACAGTAATCCGCGTAGCGACAGTAAGTTTCTTCGTTCCTCCTTTTCTATCCAATCGTTTGCTAAAGAGGGAACGCGATATCCGAAGACAGAGCACGTTAATTACCGGATGGGAAGTTTGTCGTTTGGCAAATGTGAGAATATCGTCGGAAGTATTGGAAATTTGTTCGTCAGGTAGATTTTTCAGTTTCGTTACGGTAGATTTGATGATTTCACGCGTTTTGCGTTCCGTTAAACGATAATACGAAAAGTATGGTTTTGCATGATCATCGAAGCGAAGTGAAATATTATTCGATCCACCTATACTTCATCCTAATCGACGTGTAACAAACGCGCGCCATCGAGCATCCCGGCGCTGAAAGGATTAATTCGAGCTTCATTTCCCAAAGTGAAACCACCGTCATCTAATCGGCCGCAGAAAAACACGTTTCTCGAAATAGAACTGCACGATCACCATTCCCAATTATGCTCTCGGTGAATCCAGATCATCGAACAATCCACATATTCACTCCCCGACTGTCGAATCTCGTAGACAGTGACTGATTTTCGTTGAACACACAGTCGTTCGGTCGATCAATATGAAATAGCAATTAGTCGACTGACACATTGGGAGTGGTGACAAGGATCGAAATGAATTGTCCACAGGGAGTTCGCCATCCCGGTACTCGCACCAATACTGGGCGCCCGTGGTGGCAAATCACTTCCCGCCGAATTCGCCGTTCACCCAGGGTCAAAGCCTCGGGTACACGTTACTGCCGCAGGGTGTTCAGTTTTCGCCACCGCCACGGGCACCCTTTCTGTCGCATCAGCCGTTGACGCGACAGCGTAGCGGTGGCACGAGCGGCGATTACACCCTGCTACCTCAGACACCGAAGCTCGAGAGGAAACGCTCGAAAAAGGGGACGAGAGAGGTGAGTAGTAGTTGTATAGCGAGCACTCACGCTGAATTACCATCGCCTTTCTCTTCGAAATGGGATGTTTAGAGCGTCGCCAGTGGCCATTACTCGCCAGTGGAAGATTGTACCGGATGATGTTGCATTTTTTGCGTTCGAGTCTCTAACGTCGAACGCGAGCTATTTTGTTTCATACAATGCGCGCGGAAGTGGGATTATTTCGTTTTTCGTTTCGTCGATATTCGGTTGGGTTTAAAACGTTGTCGTTGAATTTTTTCAATATCGACGTAATTTGCACGGTAATTTGGGAATGCTCGATCAATTCTCTTATTATCTTTAGGTACGTTCATGTGTTTCCATTTAAACGCATAGAGAAGTTTCTATTCGACAGAAAATTAATCGCGAAACGTAAATTTGACAACCTGCTAAAACTTTTTCGATTAGCTTCCTTCGAAATACAAATAAAACATACAAATTTCATTCGATAGTGTTCATAATTAAAGTATTGGTAATTGGATCGTTGTAGAGAGTTGGTTGGGAAATGCAACGCTATTAACACAGCGCTAGTAGAATTGCTCCGAATTGATCAGACGATATGGTACACGGTTGATTCCATAGATCGATTAGAAGGACCGTAGAATTTCACTAAATTAGAGGAAATTAATTTCCGACGTTTGTAGTACGTTTTAAAAAACAAGTAAAGATTTAGTCGAATTCTAACGTTGTCTACAAAAATATTACGTTATAGTTAAATTTGTAACGATATTTCTAATCGCCTCTTGGTCTTCCAACTTGATCCACATCCACTAGTTTTCGTTGTCACTGAAAACTACGTTCAGTGACTCTAACGTAGCGCAGCGACTGCACAGAAACTTTCATGACACTATTATTCGGCAACCCGTACGCGTTTTTATCCATAGCATCTGTTTATCTGGTTTCACGCGGCTATACAACCAGACTTCTGCAGTCGATGCGACTTTCGGTCGTTTGTCCCATTTCACTTTGCGAATGATTAAGTGTCCATTCGCGAACACGGGCGAGCGTAGCCCGTTCGTCTTCGACTGGAACGTGGAAACCCAGAAGTATCTGCGTCCACGATATAAATCGCCAGGCGGGAATCGGGACAAAAAGCTGGACGAATATATCGCTACAGAAAAACTCAATTACCGCGCGTACTCGAGCCAGAAAAGTGAACCGATATTAAGTTAGCATCGGCTTCGTTTCAGCAGCGCCCCCAGGCTAGATGACTTTATTCTTAAGCCGCGCACAAAAAAAGAAAAAAAAGGTAACAAAGTGAACAGAAACCCGACTGTTGTCCACTTGTGAATGGAGCAGCTGTCTCGTAAAAATAAAAGGCTAAAAGAGAGAACACTTCAAGTCACGAGTGTCAGAAAACTAGCTTCCTTCGCACGAACAAATGGTGCGACGTTGGATGCACGTCTCGTTCTCTTTTTACTCTCGTTTACCTCGTTTCAGCAGGGCGAATTTGGCTAATCGACCGTTTCATCCGGAATATTTTTCCGTCCAATGCTTCCTTTCCGTTTCAACTGGATTTTGTGAATTAATTTTTTACCATTTTCCGTAGAATGTTCGATGTAGTTACGATAGCTCGCTCGTTTTTAAAACGTCGTTGAACGCGATGCAAAACTCGGAAACAGGCAACAGGCAGCAATGAGGAAAAATCTTCGTTTATAATCGGTCGTGTGCATCGATTATTTAATGCCTTTTGATTTCAAATTCAGAGGTGACGATTCGAGAAAATTATCCAATTTACAAAGGAGGAGTCGTTTTCAAACGAACCACTTCACTAATCACCACTGCAAATAAAGTAATTCAAGAATCGCGCATGGTAGATTCATGAAAGTTTCTCAGCCGTGCACGATAATATTATGTTTGTGAGCGGCATAATCGTTTTGTAGCAACGAGCGCGATTCAGAGTCACCATTCATCATCGTTCTCCTCTCGGCTGGTTTGCACGATACAAAGGGGGACAAGAGAAGTTTGAATAACACGAAATAATGCTTACGTAATTGCACTGAGGCTCGTTGCCGCGCTTAGATTCACGTAAATAGGATACTTAGAAGGAATCGCGCCAACCGTAAATCCAATTGGGTATTCAGGCAAAAGTTATACAAGAAAATTGCATGTCCGATTCGTTGCACGCACATCAACCTAGTTAGATGAAATATTCGTATGATAACGAGATTAAGATAATCTTCTCGGTAGAAACAGGGACGTGCTTCCTCTAAGTAAACTAATATGTATCATTGTCTATAATTTTATTCATTTAATCGCGTCTGATGAGAATTTTAGAGAACATCTATCATTCGAGCAGCACACGGAAAAGAAGACAAATTCTCCTTTGTTATATTCTTTTATTTTTGTATCACCCGACAAAAAATTTGCAACATTTGATGCATGATCGCAACGCTGACCTTTTGTGACCTAATAAAATGGCCACACGGTTCTCTTATCGGTTTTTCACGAATTACACGGCTTTTGTCCTGCGAAAGTTGGACTGTTTCGTCAATGAAATGTCACAAAATGGTTGATAGCCGAGGAAATTTGTCCCGTGATAACAATGCGAACGATGAAAAAGATTAATAAGGGAGCAGAGATTGTCGCGTGTTAGTACAAATGTTAAGAATGACGGTATCGCGTGTGACGCGTGAATATTTCAGTGGCTCGTGTGCCTCGCGTTCTTAACATGTTTCGTACGATGCATTAAGCAGTACAAGAAGCCTGAAACCGAGCGGTGCAATTTTTAAGAAAACCCCGCGGCTAATTCGCGTCGTTGTCGTGCCTCGTTTCACCGTCAACCAGGTCTTTTAATTAGTCCGGCTAATTCAATTTGACAGGTGTGAAAGTAGTTGTCGCGCGAGCGGGCCTCGATTCACAAGATTGATGGAAGAAAAGGCGAAAAGTAGCGAAAATAGAAATCGGCGCGATTTAAGAAAAATAGTTACAAATTTAAACGCAGATCCGTATTTTATGTGCTGGCAGCGAATTATTTTTCAACGAGACAATTATAAGAAAATGTATTAGGTACGACTTTCGTATTACAGTACTTATCATCTAGAAATGACAAATTTCCTTGGTTATTTTGGGACAATCACGATAATGCTACCAAGCTCCTTTCGCTTCTATCTTTGACCTTTTCGTACGCCTCCTTAGTAACACGCCTTTTAGTCTTACGAGGCACGTGTTCAGTAACTAGTAGGCCTTAATGTCTTTTGGGTTGAAAAGCGTTTTAAGGTCTAGGCTACGCTGCTAAGAATTTGCAGTCTTAGTTCTCGGAAATAATGGAAAATTTTCTGTCAGTATCGTAAGATGCTAGAAATTTTAGATCTTCGACTAATTCAAGAATCTAAGGAACTCGAGATACGCTTCAATGGGCTCTAAATAATAATTTAATCGAACGCAACGCAATTTCTAATCTGATGCACTTGGATAACCACTTTACGGCGTACTGCACATATTCGGAAACGCTTAACAGCTACGTTATGCAAATCTAATTACAGAGGCATTTAGGTCGTTAGTGTACGGATCTGTCGCGGAATGCAACGCTTAATTCGTAGCTGTTACTGCAGAGGCCACTTAAATTTCACTTACTCCAACGAATGGGCATCTTTTTATCGTCAATTGCATTTGATAGGTTTTCGTAATATTCATATGCAAATATGTGTTTTCGTAACCTTACAATCGTTACGTGTTTCATTCGCGACGAAGCAAGAGAGAAACAAGAAGCTAAAACTGAACTAAATTTCAAACTATTTATCTTCTTTTTGAAAACGATTTACGTACAACGTAATTCTAGTTGAATACTTAATTTCAATACTACATTGTTCAAGTACTTTCGTTTGATTTCTTTGATTTTGAGAAACCTTCTTTCAGCTAACTCTCTCGTAGTCGTCTTTTACTCGAACGAATTCAAACGTTCACACCCGTGCCAAGTCGCAAGCCAGCTCGACGTCACAGTACAACGTCATACACGAACTGACCAGCCATTTTTCTCTCGTAGTAGCCACACATTACCTAATCGTTCTCTTTTCTGAATTATTCCAGGTAACTTTCGAGACGCCCGTATGACGGTCGCTCGACGGGGAGGGCCCTGCAAGCGTACCACTTCTGTCGCTATCGCCTCAGCGTTCCGCCTAGCCCCGTCGAGATCTCATAAATGCGAACCATCTATCACGGTTCGTTCTGTGAAGCACGTCGCCGCCGTCGTCCGGCTACTAACATAGCACGGCCTATCCAGCAGCAGCCGCCAGAGTGTCGTGTGGCCGCATGGTCGCGTGACGCGGATCCAGACAGACAGACACGGACGACGATGAACACTCGAGCGCAGTTTGTGCATCTATCTGTGTGTATGTGTATGCGCGCGCGTGTCTGTATGCATATATGTGCAAATGTGTGTATGTATGTGTGCGCGCGTCGATGCTCTGTGAACATTCGCGGAACTTCGTTTACGCGAACGCGTGTCCCATTCGCCGAGTACTGTAATCGACGAAGACGCGCAACGGTCTGACCATGTTCATATCCCGCAAGTGCTACGCCTTACACGTAACTGATACACGCAGAGCCACGTAACACGTGCACAATAAAATACCTAAGCAAAACCTAAGCCGTGTGTTCGATATTGATCGTGGTGAAAGGAGTTTGCATGGTGTTCCTCGACACACGAGTGGCCGGTGTCGCGAAACGCGTCTGTTCTCCTTCCACTTCTTCCTCTGCTAATTCTTCCGCTACTTCTTCTTCTTCTTCTTCTTCTTCTTCTTCTTCTCCTGATTCTTCTTCTTCTTCTTCTTCTTCTCCTACATCGAGGAAACGGTGTTCGAAAGAAAGAGGAAGTTAACGTCGTTGGAAGCGAAGGTTCGTCAGGAAGTTACGAAAGACTTGACCAAAAAGCGTGCTGGAAAACTGGGACGAAGAGAAAAGTTTCGCGGGCAGGTGATGAAAGGCGAGAGAGAAATCGAAGGAAGGATAGGCTGCTTGGTAACTCGAATTACACGCTCGTTGAAACATCGAATCCTTCGATCGAGTCTGAGAAGGACGGATGACGAAGTGGAAGGGAGAAATTGAGAAGATCGAGTTTGTGCTTTACATTCGCACAGAAAACCAAGGAAGTAGCTGTTCCGCGATCGTCCAACGGTTTCTAGTCCTCCACCTAAACTTTTATGACCACGCACGCGTTCAATTTTCGCGACGAACTCGCGGCCGCTGTTCAAACGCTTCTTCCTTTCCTCCTTCCGCTCGCAAACGAAATCCATTTCAACGTTCGTTCACACGCGAGTGATGTTCCACGTTATAATCATCGTGGAAGGGCACCCGGGGAAATTTCACGCGTTTGCTAGTTTTCGCTCGAAAAGGATCGCCGACAGCGAACACGCAGAAATTCCTACGGAACCATCTAAAGATGATTTAAAAATGAAAAATAGATTATAATTGTATACTTGTGACGAGCGTCGCCGCTGTGTACACCCTTACATCGACTGTGATTATAATGGATATAATTATTAAGTCTTTCAGAGGATGCCGAATAAATACACAGTACAGAAACTCGTTGCGGAACGAGTTAACAAACGCAGGATTACCTGGGAGTCCTCGAGATCGGTAAGTTTAGACGTCTCGCGATTGCCAGTGGTCTTCCAGTTGAAGTGGAATTTTTAATAATTCATCGTTTCCACGTGTTTGCTAACATTGGTAGAAAATATCGTATAAACGCGGATCGGGGTATTCGCTCTCGTTTTACGATGCGATAACGGCTTACGAATCTTTCTTTCTCTCAAGTCGTTTAGCGCAACAGTCTCGATCCAATAATTCGTTTCATTAAGCAGCCAAGCTTTTTCTTTCTCGCGAAATCGAATTTCACATGATTAGGCAGGCAGTGGAATCGAACGAACCATTGAATTTCCAAAGCGAGTTCATTTAGTTTCCCGTTGAAAAAGAAGCAATTAATTTACTTTGGACGAGCGATCGGCTCGGCGACTCGCTCTACCACAGATTCGTTGGCTGACGCGTCTCAACTATGATATCGATCTCTCGAGGACGCCAACTGTAGACAAGATCGGATAAGAAATGAAAACCGAGAAAAGAAAAAAAAAAACAGGAAAAATGCGATACGCCGAGAACGCAACGCAGAATTTCGAATTACAGACGAGCAGAGATTATGGCCGCTCCTGGGATGATCGAAAAAGGTAATCGAACGTGCACAGAGAAACCGGCGAAAGAGAAGAAACAACGGTAACGTCATCAACAGCAGCTACACGATAACGAGAAACAAGTTGAGTGAAAGAAAAAGGAAAGGACGAATTAAAAGAAGAAGAAAGAACAACGAGAGTTCGCGCAAAAGGATGGAACGAAGAAAAGAGAACGAGCGTAATCTCCAGACGTAACGCAATAAGTGCTTCGTTAAAATGAAGAAAAAACCTGCAATAAAGTGCTTCGAAAATAAACAAAAAAAAAAAGATAAAATAAAATAAAAGTAAAGTAAAATCGTAGTTGATTATCGAGAGGGTTAACAGAGCAGAGTTATGGTTTAAGGCGAACCTAAGATTAAGAATTATAACGTACGCGTCGCGCGAGAATACAAAAAGATAAAATATAAAGTAAAAACAGATATAAAATAGAGCACGTGTAGTAGAGGGAAAGGGACGAATATTAAAAGAAAATAAACAAAATTTGAAGAAAATAAAACAATGTGTGTTTGTATGTTTCTATGTTTATATAATCCCCGCGTGTGAGAGCGAGGCCGTAGAAGATCTAATAAGACGCACAAACAATTTAAACGAACGATTTAAAAAAATATAAAATAGAAAAGAACGTGGGATAGGAAATGAGACGAACGAAAAAAGAAGGAAGAGAGAGATGAATGAAAACGGAAGTGAAACGAAGAACGCACGTGTGATGTGAGAAAAAGTAGTGACGGTCGTGTTGGCACAGGCAACCGAAAGCAGGTGCGTGTGTTTGATGTAACGACGATCGAGCAACCCGTTACGTTTGTTGTAAACGTGTCTTGTTGCATCGAGAATTGTAACGCGTGTAGTAGTCGTTGTTCTTGGGCTACGTTCGTTGGAAAATATATCGTGGCTGATAGACCGATATTGTAAAGCGAACGATGTGTTTGAACGTGGAACATATGTTGCAGTTGATAGTCACTGCCGTAGAAATTGTGAATATATTATCGATAGTGTAAATTTAGAGAGATATCGGATCGACCAGAAGCGAGTTTGGGATTACACACCATGTTTGAAATATTTCAACGAAATTATTAGAAATCAGAGTAAGACGATGAATGAAATTTACGAAGAAAAAGATATAAAAATTCTCATTAGCCAAAGCGTGTGAATTATTGTTAATTATATCGATATCTATTTTACTTTTTTACCACAATTTTCCTTATTTTCAGGATATTTAATTTAGCGGGGTGTTCGCGTTAAATTTAGCATACTAATAATCGTTACACGAATTTAAATCTAAATTAAAATTAAAGTCATTCGCAAACATATTTATAAAGGCTGGTAATTATGCTGTATTTAAAAAAGTTCATATATGTTGTTAAAAACAAACTTTGACAATGCCATTAGGATATTAATAAATTCACGATACAACGAAATTTAAGATAACAGATAATCCCAAACTTGCAAAAGATAGCATAAGAGGATTGACGATTACAAAGTTTCTTTTTATTGCTTGTTATTTATCAAAATGACAGGAACGATAATATTTTTTTAGATAACTGTAAATAACACGGACGAAATCAAGTTTACTCGTTATGAATGAAAATGTACCTGTTTTAAGCTATCGTGAAATGGTATTTATCTCTCTAGATTTACTACCAGCTTCAAATAACGTTAATAATATCAATGTTTCGTCTATTTTCATTCGCCGTATTTTTGACAAGAAACACCAGTTAGCCATGTTATATAAAATATAATTTGCGATTAATATATCTTGTTAGCAAAATTAAACATTATTTACAGTGCGACGTAGAATTTTATTAATGTCACCGTAAGAACTCGCTTCGCAGCAAACAACGCAGCAACTAATTATTGATATATATATATACGATAATTTGTCGTATCAATTTTTGGAAAAGGACCGAAGTTCGACCAGGTAAGTCATGCAATATCGATTACAGAATATAAAAACATGTTCCAAAAATATCTGAACTCTAATCTCTAAATATCGAAATTATCAATAAACGAAGGAAACTCCGAACTTGTCCTCTATCAAATTCTTTCTATTTTTATAACAAATAATTAACCTTGTACGTTGCGCTACTACGATCATCGATGAACTTGAATATAATCAAACACACGTATAAAGAAGTTAGGATAGTCATTAAAAAGAAAAAAAAAGGCCTCTTCGAGCTTTGGATCGTAGTCGCTTCTCGAACAGTTTTTATCGCTATCGTATATTCTTGATATTTAATCACGTAAAGAAACTAACGAGTTGTCGATCGATCGTGATCGATTAGTATCATTATCAAGTACACACATAGTATCGTAATATATAGTTTCTATGACAATACGTAAATGGTAGAGATTCTCGAAAAAAATCCAATTTCTCCGTGGCCGTGTAAAACACAGCGATCATAGAACATATTTACATATTGACGCGCTTATATTTTTATATATGTATAGTAAGAAGAATTGTAAAATAGTATCGTTATAGCGTATTGTACATAAGAGACAGTACTACGTATCGTGGTTAATGGCGTTTCAGCGTTTCTTCGGAATTTTCGAACGCGTTGGCCGAATAGCTGAAAATAATCCAAATACTCCAAATATTCGAATATTCATCACGTAGATCGCTGAACGTTGTTCTCGTTTGAAATTGCACGGTTTCGATTATTTTGCTAAATAATAGCGTTAATTCTTTGTCTGGCATCGTATTTTATTTACTCCGTTCAAAACGTGCTTTTGTTTCGTCGTATGGAATTGTTCGACTTTGTGCCTTTTCGGAGGAATAAATTTGACGGGAAATTGTTTGATAACATATTACGGTTACAAGCAGCCCTTAAATTTTTCAATGAACAATCGGTGTTATCGATATTTGCATATTAAACTTAAAATTAGGTCATAACAAACGTTATCGAATTGTTTGAGTATCATTTAATATTACGAAGTTTCATTAAAATTTCAGATTAATTTACATAAATGTCTAGTTCACAATGGAACGCGGTTAATATTTAAATAAAATATTTTACTTTTACTAAAGAAACGTTTATGTTTCTTAAGATTATTGCTCTGAGAACATAATACTTTCGAATTGTCTTTAATAGCCATTCAACAAGTTACATTATTTCGATTAAAATTTGCTAAACTGACACATGCCGCTGCTTTCCAGACAAAGTAGCTTATAATAGACAATTGACTTGTTGAAAATACTGGATATTGCCAGTCAAAGAATTAATATTGGCTACGGAAATCAAGACGGCGTCGATGGTATTAGTAGTAGCGGATTGTACAAGTCAGACGTGACTCGGAGCCGTCAGATTCTAAAATATCTCTGTTTTATTTCTCGCTGTTCTGTTTGCCGAATTTCAGAGAGAGTGGAAATAAAAATCATCCGGATTAAATATTAATATACATAATATTATATAGACCTGTATATTTCATTTCCAGTAAAAAAATTATTAACTTTTGCGTTAAATTAGGATCGCGCGAAATAAAAAATGAATGTTACTAATGAAATTGTTTTAGTTTCTTGGGATTAAAAGTTTAAATCATACTTTATCACATTTCTTTCTTTTTCTACGGTGTAAAAAATGAATAAGTCAAATTACATCATTTCAGAATTCGAAATACGCAGTTTTACATCGAGTGAAATTACAATGAAATTTAATACTTTTCGCTCAACGTACCTACAACGTCCCATTTATCGGTATAGTATCTCCAGTGTTTCACTCGTTTTGCTAACAAGAAGAACGTTAATAACAGAAATGTCACGGAGCATTTTTATCATTGTAGAATTTTCCACTATCGAGAGATATTTTAATCGATAACGATACCTACAATTTCTTTTATGTGAATCACCTTTGCAAATCCTCATATTTGTCGTATGTTTCGCTATTATCATCGAAACAGGAATCGAAGCGCATGATAAAAGAGAGAATTAATTAGCGTTCTGTTTGATTCGACGAATTCAGAGGACCTTCGAGTATTCTCATCTGCGCCGGTATTATCCATCTGCCAATTATACGCGTGTTCCTCTGAAACAACGATCTCTCTTCGATTCCACGAATTTCCAAGAACGTTACGCTTTGATCTCTCGCTTGTAGGCAGAGAATGCGTACAGCAGATAATTGTTCCCTTTTACCTTTACGACGTACGCTATCGCTCAAATGTATCCAAACATTTGATTCTTAACAAGACTATTCAGACGATTCACGTTAGAGGTGAAAATCCTTTTATATAAAATTTTCTCTTTTGTTACCATCGAATGAATGAAAATGAAATAATTTATCTGTTGAATCAATCATTAGTTAACAAATATTCTTACTTATTTCAATAGCATTTAGGTACGTATCGTTATTATAAATTACGAATCGATCAAGTGTGCGAATATTTGCAAGCGATAGCATAAATCCGACGTTAGAAGATTCTGAAAATCGTAGAAAAACGATGGACATCGAAGAACGTAAACAGCAATTATAACATCGTGTAACGAGGTACATGGCGTCGGACACGCGTTCTACGTGTCCTGGTTCCTTGAATTCGTCGATATTGGCATGAAACCAGCTGAGCGGCGAACGTCTGGCTAGATTTTAGGCCGAGTTATTTACATACGAATGGAGACTGAACCGAATGCATTTGCCAAACATTTTTTTCTTCCACAACCCCACGCTCGATATTTTCGACATCCGCAGATCCGCTTGTACAGTATGTCTCGTATAATGTGAACAAGAATGCATTTGGAGGTGAGAGGGAACAGCTGGTGATTCATGGGACGCGTGTCGCGTCGAATCGTTAATCGTTTAGCCGATAATACTGTTTCCGGTCAATACGCACGAAAATCGTAATTAATGCCCGAAATGTGCAGAATTTTGATGCGCCCTGTAACTCTGTTTCAAAGTGCGCAACGATGCACGAACATTCCGGCGAATTCTCAAAATATTTAATATTGGGAAAATGTGGTACGTTTACGGAGCTTAATTCGCATATTTTCAAGCGATGCAGATGGTTATAAATGACGCGATAGAAATTCACTGACCGTTTCCCGCCTTTCCTAAATTTAGATATTTTTCACTGTTACATATAGGTACGACGCCTTTTTTATTTCTTCATAATTTCGATGTGCCAATTTTCTTTCCTCTTAGCACGAATTTCTGAAATTTCTCAAACGTTTGTTCTCCTTCTGATATTTTGACGTCGGTCAAAAGTTTACACAGGAATTTAAGAGAAATTTGCAGGCTATGAACTTTCGTAAAAATAGGAATTTTATGGAATAATAAACAGACAGACTTATTTGCAGTGGCTTTCACGAACCTCTTCTCTGTAGATTTCGATCTGTTACTGCCTGAAAATACAAAGATTCGAGATTTCCACGCTCGAGTAGCCACAAAAGATTACTCGAAGCGACAAGATCATAGGGTTCCCGTTTCGCGCGAAAAAATGCTCTGGATCAATAGAAAAGAATTCAGCTCGAATAATGTTTCCTCTGTCCGGTAATCGGGAGGAACGTTGTTTTAATCGCAATCAAGTAGGACAAAAAGACATCGATAATCGTATCGAGTGTCAGGTGTTAGCTCATCCTTTGTGTACTTTTCCTACCGATGGTCCTCATCGATTTTCGATTATCTTCGTTTTCGTAATGAATATTCCTAAAAGGATTGGCGCGAACCGATGGTTAACGAACGTGAAGAAAAGTGGCCGAAAGGTTTTGCACGAAAATGAACCGTTTCCAGAACGTTTCGTGAGAAAATTCATGCCTTTAATTCTTCACGCGAATCAACCGATCTATGTATCACTTTGAATTACAAAATTCGGCCTAGTTCAGCGTGCCGTGTTCGATTTGAATTATTTATTACCGTTGCAATTAATTACGAGAAGGAACACCAGCTGTACCTGTCGCAACGAGGGATAATTTTCTAATGTATTGGAAATAAATTCCAGCCATCCAACTCGCGAATAGTATCTCTAAATAATGAAGAATTCCGATTAAAATTTTAATGATTGCTTTGTATTACATTAATCATAAACGTAATATAATTCGAAATCCGAGATATTATAATTTTCACAAAGATTCACGGGATTTTCAACATAATGTACGATGAATAGGTCAACTAAATCTGCTTAAGAAGGAAGCACAAGTTATATCGAACCAAAGCGTAAATTCTTGTCATCGTTACTCCGTTATTTGCGAAAAATGTATACCTATCGTAAAATTCAAAAGCTTGAGGAAAACAACTTCCTTTCGACATCGCATACCTGGCACAAAACTCGGTAAAATTTGACCTCTCTTTATCTCTTCCATACCACGTGGCAACCGAGATTTTGTCAAAAAGCGGTCTTGCCAAAAGCCTGACATTCGTTTAAGCGAAATCGTATTTTCCGACGAAGCGTAGCGTTTACCGTAGAGAACGAGAGCCCGAAGAGCGTTTTTCTCCACGTTGCTTCGCGTTATCCGTAGAACAGCGAACAGGAACGGCGTGCAAAAAATAATTGGAAGCGAGACGAGAATATGCGAATAGAAAGAAAGAACGAACGAGAATAAGACAGCAAAAAAACAAACAAAAAAAAAAAAAAAGAAAAGAGAGGAAAGATCGAACGATGATGAATGGCAACAACAGCACTGTATATTATTGCAATTATTTATTATTACGACATGTTCGTTGACTATTATGTTAGAAATAAAAACTACATTGAGAAACTGGCCGAGTAAAATGAATTTCTAATGGGACAAACCCTGGAAATATTTCCATTTTTCCCCGAGATCTGCCTTATTCATCCCACTCTGGCCTTTATTCTGCCCCTATCGTTTCATTCTCCGGCCCCTTTCGCTCTCTATAGTCACGGAAACAACGAAGTGGGAAAGCGAGGGCACTCGAGCCGGAAGAAAAGCGGAACAAGAGACGAGGACGTGGCTGAAGGCTCCGCTTCGAAACACAATATTTGCTGTTTCTTCATCGCCCGCCCACTCAAGAACGATTCCACGAGTTTTCGAGTGCTCGATCGCTGGTATTAGATTCACCATCCTCGAAACAGAGAGTATTCGCTCGTTTCGCAGAATTATTCGAAGGGTGAAAGCTTGGACTAAAGAGAAGAACTTTCGAGGAGGGTCGAGTCATTCGGCAGATGAATACATATTTATCCCGAGCCATTTCGCTCTTTCAAATCGTTGTTATATATCCTTCCTCGATATTTCTTCCTGCGCGGAAGATAGATTCGATAGATTTGTGAAAATATATTCGGCACGATGATACGTATTTAAAAAAATCTAATGTTTCTCTGCGTTAGAGATTTACAAACTGCGATAGCTTCCAAAGGATCCGCGGAATTTCTGAAAATTCAGAGACAGTGGCGGTGCTAAGTTTAGCTTTGTAAACTTACCCTTTGTAAACTCGTTAATTATCGTACAGCTATTGTCACCTAATTCTCTTCTCCTTTGGTTCCCTTTTTTTTTTTTTGCTGTAGTACACTTTTTGCTGAATCAACGGATTTTTAATTAATTACTAAATGCACGTTCCATTGAGCAATCAGAAAGATCCTGTTTATCCGAAACAATGCATTGGAAAAGGGTGGCACGGACAAAAATCAATATTTCGTATTGTTTAAAGGCTCCTACCGCAGACCCGTGCCATTCGGGTGGCATTTATTCTCTCGTCTACCATTTACTGATAAACGATTCTAAACAAAAGACTGAAAGTAAATTTCGCGTGTCTTTTCCTAGTTGAAATAATATCTCGATAAATATCGGAACAGTGATACGTAGGATAGCAATAGACTTCATAAATAACAATAATTTGTTTTTATTCTATCTGCCCCTCTATAAAGAACAGATATTTCTTTTCACTTCCTCGTTCATTCCCTCTGTTCGAAAAATATCGTATCGTCCTGTGCTTTTTCGTGCTGTATGGCTTCATTCACGTATTTAATTTATGCGTTCCGCTAAAAGTCTCGTTCTTGCGTGGGAAACGACCGAAAAGAAATTATAGTAAGCGTAACAAATAAATTTATTTCTTAATTTTAGACTTCAATACTATATTCCACTATTATATATAACAGACTTAATAAATAGCTAAAGATGTAGTAATTTTTTATCAAACGATAATTTAATTTTAAGCTTGATAGAAATACCATTTTAAATACAAATTAGAATTTCTAAATTCGTTTCTGTCGAATATTTTCAAAATGAGGTGTTGGAGCCCAATATTCCGTTGATTGTGGCACGGGTGTTGTTAAATTTGCATACGTTCTTGATAATGATGGTAAATTTACTTCGGTGGTATTCGTTTTATCTATAATCTTTATATTTTTGTCACTGTCCGATCTTGATATTTTGATATGCAGTTTGGGATTTTCACCTTTGACCATCTGCAATCATTAGAAAGAACATTAAATGAACAAAATCTACGAGTAAATTATTAATTTCGAGTTACAGCTACAGGTATCACGATTCGAATTAAACATCTACCACTCGTCTTGTTCCTCGTTGTCTATTTCTAATAAGAGATTTTTCAAATAAAATTCTCCAATCTGCGTTTCACATAATAACGTGATAAATGATTTCACAATGATTTAGTATGCACCGACCTCACGTTTTATCATAAAAATTATATAGTATCATAAATCGGATAAAAAATCATGATATGATATACGTACAAATAATAATTTCATATACAGTTTAATTCTAGTTCTACCTTATTTCTAATTTCTCACAAAGTTTTTGTATATGTTCGTTTTATTTTTACTTTAAATATACTCATAATGTTTCGAATTTTAAATATCTCCGTATTAGAGTTTATATTTCGATATTTTTATATTAAAATTCGCATTTTAATATTCCTGTACCGATATCCATATTCTAACACTTTCCCATTGAAATTATTTGAATTACGACATAATGACTTTTTACTACTAAATCATTTTTCTACGTGTGTCTAGATGGAACATTTAACTCGTACCTAACATAATACATATATCATATACGTATTCTGCGATTTTTACCTTTATCTGCATCTTTTTGTTATTAACGTTCACCACTTTCGATTCAACGTCATCTTCATCCTCGATATAATCATTTTCAATAGTATACACAGGTATAGAAATTCTTTCGTAATCCCTTTTTCGCTTTTCATAATTATCGTCTTCGTATTTATCTTCTTCTTTAGGCAATTGTATCACGATGGTGTAAGGATGATGATTTTCGGCGCGTCCATCAAAATCGTCTCTCGTAGAACCATATCTGAAACGTCTGTTTATTGCTCTAGCGACTCTCATAACGAAGCAAATTTTAATTACGAGCCACGATAAATCTGTTAGTGAACTGTTCTACAAACAACTTGCGATCTAGTTTTCAATCCAATTACCAAAAAACCAGACGTTTCGAGTCGAATCACTCGAGCTTGCACAATTTTATAATTAAATTTAATGCCAAAAATATCGAAATTTCCCACTCTCCCTCCCCATTGTCAAGCACGTGACGCAGTCGATAAATCTACGACGTCGAACCGACAAATTAAACCGGGGATTTTGTAAAGTGGCACAGACAATGCGTCGTTTATTGACATCTGGCTTTATGCTTTTGGGCATGTGGTCATTAAATCGCGGGAAATTAATACAACTGTCAATAATTGGAATATAACGAACTCTACGATCGTCGATGATCTTAATTTTCAGAATATACCTCGCGTCTTTTTTATCTTAAATTTATTTTTCTTAATTCTACTTTTTACGTTATACGTGCAATGCCCGATTCAGAATAAATAATAATCGGAATATGAAATTCCTAACTGAACGAAGCGAACTAAGTTCGCTATTAAATAATATTGCATAAATAAGGAAAAATACGTAAGAATACGATCTTCGTATCGCGCAACTCAATACTCACTCCGTACCTATTATAACTTGGCCTTCGAGAATAATGGTCTTCCGGTGATATCCTCTTAGAATGGTAGAACTTGGATGATTTGTGATCCGCGTACGATCGAGGCCGCCACCATGGTCTACGTTGATAGTACTTGTACGGCCTGATCAGTTTGTAACCGTCTCCCATTTCGATAATTTCGAACAGCAACGCGAAAAGTGCAACTAGAAAACAGCGCTAGTGAAGCAACAAATTATTGATTTTATACGATTGAAAAAGCGATCGAACGAGATAAAAACGTATCTTCTTACAACTTTGATTAATTTTTAGTCTTTTTTTCATAATTTATTAATATATAGTAGCTGAAATTTAACGGTGTTCCTAACTTCGAATTTGAGTTATTTGTCGTTTACGTTATTACAATCTAACTGACGTTATTCGAGAAATTATCGTACGATCCGCTGTTCTTTCTTCGTTCATATAGTATGCAATTGTTTCACGCGTCAAATCATATTATACAGTCTCCGTGTTTCAAGTTATCGAGTTGTCTGCATACAATCAGTTTCTCAATTTCGATCCTATTGATAGTTCTTGACGCTTCTATCGATTTCGACAATGAAACAGCGCCATGACAACGCGTTATGATAAACGTCGACGATGAGAATCGGTCAGATACCGTTTTATTATACCCCGTGAAAATGTGTTACGAGACGAACGGGAAAGAAGACAGAGCCACGCACGTTGTGCCTCTCGTATACGTGATTGCAGCTCCATTCAGAAAATTAATCAATGTGCCAACGTGACGTAAATATTCGACGAAACTCGACGTGGTAAATCGTAATGTAATTAGTACTCACCCGTATAAGTATATTCATTTTCGAAATTAAGAAACTCCACTTTGTACAATTACCCCGTTGCACTGTTATATTTATTCGAATAAAGTTCGTGATTTAAAATAACATAGCCGAATCTGACGATCGTACAAACACGCGTGGTGCACTTCGCCACTTTCGAGCGATTCGAGTTCTATCGTTCACTGCGATCGAAGAGAACGGAGACAAATCGCGAGGCGAAGCGTCGTTTCATGCATTTCTGCACGGAATAACGAATCGTCGATGATTTCGTTCACGAGGCAACGTCCATGTGCGTCGTCACATCACTCGAAAGTTTTCATCCGCTAAACTTTCTTTTATATTTTTCCCCACTCTGTGGCAATTACGCGTATACCGACTACGCGAGAGAAAATTCTGATCCGATGGTCCACTCGTTTCTTACTTGATACCCCTTTTTTTTTATCTGTACTAAATCTCAGGCAACACGGACAGAAGCGGTAACCTGTGTTGAACGAAGCGATGCTCGTTAGCTACGTTTCTCCATCGGTCGCGTTGTCGCTTTCATTTCATTCATTCGCGTGGAACAGTGACGAGAAGAAGATGCTTTATCGTACGCTAAATACTTTCTAGTTTCCCTTTTTTTTATGTTTTTTGCTACGTTATTTACACTATGTTCGATACTTCCTAGTTTTTCTTCTCTCTGCTTCTTCTTCTCTTTTTCCTATATTATTTACGAACGAATCAAACGCTCGCATGATTTATTAATAGACAGTAGATGTTTTTAATTATTTTGTAAATTATCGTTCATCAACAACGAACCTGGATTTGCTGAGAATTTCTATTGTCAAGATTTTTTGTTTAAATTCGGTTCAACGATAAAAGCTAGAAGTGATCGTATTTTCGTGGAAACTAATTGGTTGAAATAAAAGCTTAGAGATAAACGAAGTTGTAGATTCCTGGAAAATGAAATACATAATTATTTATAGATAATTTCTCTACGTTTGTATGAGTCATCATGTAGAATCTTCTATTGTCAAGCACCTATTGTCCATTCTATTTCGTCGCTACGAATCGCTATTCGCCATTCTATTCTATCGTCTATTGTCACGAGCACCCTATTGTCAACAAGTCTCTATTATCCCGATGCTCTTACTCTTTTCTAAATATTTCCTGGTGTAAAAACTTCCTTGCATTCGTCAATTTATTATCATTTTTTAAATATCGACATTGGTCAACCTTACGATTCATATCGTTGAGACATTTTCAAGATGATTTTCTAGACGCGCGTTTCACTAATGTACCTATTATCATACAAATCGAATAGTCGTAACGTATCTAGCGATTAAATTAGTTAATATTAATTAAAATTCAACGCAAACGTGCTTGGTACATTTTGATAATGAATTCTCTTTAAACTAATAGATCGCTCCAATGTATGTAATTAACATGCGATTAAGAAGTCAATAATTAATGAGTTTCTTTTGAAAGTATCGATCGTTGTGACATGTAATATGCACGTAGAAGATTAAAATCACGTAAAACGTCGTTGGAAATATAAATTAAAAAATTACATGCTAAGAGTATACCTCTGCATTTTTCATTAACTCCGCTTTGATGCGCGAATATTTTATAACACGTGTTTTAAATAAAATATAACTACCAAGATAATATTTAATTACGCAATACGTTAACACGACGTTAATTTAATTTTCCAGAGAATCGATATTTCTGTTTGTACGACGATTTTCGTTGTGTCAGAGCAAGCATACGTTTCACAATTGGTATAATATTTATATATAAATAAAACAAGTTAAATATTCACAGCTCGTATCCTATCTCGTATTTAATACGATCTCGTATCTATCAGATATTTAAATATGCAAAAAAATAGCAAAAAAACACACGGGATACGCGACAATATAAATAGTAATTACTTAGAATAAATCATTTTATATTACTTAGGCAATGAAACAAATCACTGTTTGCGTTTCATTTCATTAGTAGTGTTGGTCAAAATGGAAATTTTCCTAAACATTCTAGTAACGGTATCATCTTAATACTAATAAAATGTATATTGTATTACCTTAATATTATTACTAACACATCTTGTTAGACATTGTTACAACAAGATTGGAACAGGATAAGCCTAAACCGGATGTCGGTCTACCCAAACTTGTCCGTCACAGTTACTTATTGTCGTGTACACGCACACACACACGCGCGTCCACACGCTTCGTCTCCCTTGTCTGGTATCGTCTTCGCTATTTTACGAAAACCGACTTTAATACCGGCGAACTGCACGGATAATAAAAGGATCAGTGAAAACTGGGACGACGCCAGTGCCAAAAAGTTTGATAGGTTTGAGAAAATTGAAGATACCATATCGCAATGCCGGTAAATCCAAAAACATTGAGCGAACGGAAGTAGTAATCCTGACCGACGAAGTTTTACGATTCCTAAACTATTTGTGAAACATACACTGTCATGATCGTTGCAAATGATACTCGATAAACAACTAAGCGAGATCATTACGATTTTTACAAAAGTTTGCCAGCTATTGAACTATTACGATCGCTGTAACAATACAAATTTAAGTTTTGTTAATACCTAATTGCGTAATTATACAGAAATTTCTAGATAAAAAGCGATCCGGTCAACGGATTAAATCGCCATCGCGTTTTAGATTGAAAGGACAAGGAAAACAAGAAACGATATATTCATTGTAAGATGAATTACGAAGAAAGAAACGAGAAACGGGGAGAGATATGAAGAAACTCAAAGGCAAGGCGGACGAAAGGAAGAAAAGAAGCGATCAGAGCGGAAAGGAAAATTGTCGGCTAGTGACGACACCTTTCGTGAACGCTACATTACCGTCATATCGTTCAAAACTGTGTTGTACCAAAGGAAAAATGGGACAGTTTATCGTAAAGGTCCTAATTTGAACGTTGCGCTAAAGGTACGGAACAGCTTTAAGACCATGTGGAAAGTAAATGGACGGAGAGACTGCTTTCTTCTGGAGAGAAGAGCAAACGAGGACAACCATAAAAATGCTTAGGAGAAGCTTGTGAAGCAAAACCAGTGTATGCAGAGACACGTACGCAAATTTGCTCGTGAATGCAATAATGTGTAAATATATCTCGTTCGTGAAATCGAAATAGTGGTTGTACGACAAACTTATAATTTTTCTTAAAAATATTTTAATCGCCTTAAATGTATATAACGCGTATAAGTATGAAATTTTCTTTTAAATAAAAGCATCGATTCGTTAAAATATAACAGTTTCTAGTACTTGGGAGAATAAGTGTAAGAACATAAGGAAGCTACGAGTTAGATGATTCTTTTTTTACATGTTTTATTCAACCACGTGTGAGGTTTCAAGAAACAACTACAATGACTTGGATCGTTCGTCACTCACAAGGTACATTACATACAAATATGTGCATCCATATAAAATATGAGGAATGATATGTGCATTTAATTTGAAACAATCGACAGGAAAATGTAACGCTGATTAACAATCTCTGGAAGCATAGTACAGATCAAGTGTTAACAAACGCTTTCTCAACTTCCTTTTACAACGATTCCTATCATTTTTGTCCGCACTAACGTTAAATTGTCCCGTTCTCCATTAGATGCAAACAATGATACTCAGTCCTTTTTTCTAAATCGAAGAATAAATTAAAAATTCGTTTAAAATAGCGTATAGAATAAGTTCAGTCTTTGTTAAATTTGTTTCGTACATTACATTACGTTTCAAACGAGAATTAACTTTTAAGTACACTCGTTGAGAAGAAAAATCAAGGATAAGAATTCAAGAAGAAGAAAAGATATAAGAATCGAGTAAAAAGCTAATCAAATTTGAGTCAACGTATTTTCCGCAAACGCCAAATATATTGCCTGATCACGCTATAGTAATTGCGAAACGAAACACAACAAAATCATAAGCGTCTTTACATTTTCAATTACACGGCACTGTAATAAAGTCGACGCAAACACGTTTCAACATTCACAGCTAAATCAATATGAATTATCGTGAGAAACATGCTACGTTCGTGAATCAGAATACAGTTCGATGAAACGACGATGAAGAAAGTACTTTTAACGACGATAATCGAAGGATGCGAATGTAACGTTACTTCGAGAGGAATTCGACGAGTTTGTAGAAATATGGAAAAATTGGAACGTTTGTTTTCGTTGATATAGCGTTTAAAAAGCGGTACAAATAGTCGTATAAATAATTGTACTATCAAAGCTTTTAAAGAAGCATATCTGTATCTTTTCATGTTTCGGATCAAAGTAGTTAATAGACATGGAGATTGTTAGGCTGCTTATGTAAATACCATTTACAGCAGACATACACAGAATCGCGATAAGATTTAACGAAGAATTATATAATTTAAAAGAAGAGAATCAAACAAATTTGATGAAAAATTGTAGCTTTAAAAATAGAAATAACTTGAGATTTTTCTCAAGTTGGAGAGATATAAGAAAAATTTCATTTATATACAAATTAAATCGTATCTTATGGAAAAGTATCTGGGTGATTTATTAACAATTGTAGACAGGAGAGTGTCGCTTACTGTCCAATTTACACCATCTTACTGCGATTCTGTCTGTGTATAATTTATGGTAAATTCAACCCTTTGAATTCGCGATATACTAATTACAACCTAACGTCTTGTCTCAGAGTGACAGAAATGCGACAACATATCGTATACGTGTCATAATATGCGTCGGCTAGGTCTAAAGATAATACATCGCGTGTGATATACTGTATCTTCGTATAACGTTTATATTATACGACGAGCCAAGATATTATATTATTTAAAATACCTTGAAAAATGTATCACGGACTCATGTTACAGTCTTCCAGTGTTTATATCTCGATCTCGGACTCGTTCCAAGAAATAAAAAAGGCTTCCAATGTTTTGAGGTAAATGTTGCCATTAAATAGATGCGTGAAACTCTTTAAATCAATAACGATTCCTTCATACCTTTCGAAAGCTTAAAAATATTACCTAGGTTTTTAAATAAAAAAAAAACCAATTGAATCAAATATGATTTAAAGAACGTAGAGAAATGAAATCGAGCAAGATCAAGAATATGAAAATTAAATAATTTCCTATGAAATGAAATATTAGTATTTCATATAAATATCGCCATAATTGTAATCGTTAAAGCAATCGGTAAAGTGCAAAGGGTTCACACTCGTTATCACACTTGTCTCTAATATTTGCTATTCGCTAAATGAAATCATAGCGTGTAAAATATGTAGATTCCCACGAATATTCAGCTCCTTACGAGGAACAATTTTCCTATTCCGCAATTGTCTAACTTTCATAAGTTCTAATTTACGCTTGGAAAATTTCATTTCCCCCGTTTACGTGCCACCCAGCAAACTAATTGTTTCTTTGGTTTATTATATATTTGTCACCGATATTTCTCATCGGTGTTGCGATCGATAATTTCGGTCACGAGAGCGTAAGATTCTGTCGATACAATGACAGAAATTATGAAGTTTCAACGCTCGTATAAAATCACAAGCACAAAATTTCTTATTCGACGGCCGAACGTTGAAACTTTTCTCGCGTAGCTTAGCTATAATTCGTGATACTTTCTTAGGAGCGACTTTTACCTAGAACATCATCAATGTCGTTACCGAAACCTGTTATTCACGGATAATTACATTCATCAACCATCTTTTAATAGCTGAAAGAACAACATTGTCCGAAAGCCTTTAAAAATAAGACACGAACTTTCACCGATGATTTTAACGATTGATCATCCACCATGATGTGTTTCATGTACGATTCTTAAATTAATCTGAAACTCGACGAGTTATTTTATAGCTATCAAAACTAATTCTATGACATTCCTTTATATATTAAATTCACGGAACGCAAACTATACGCAGGTTTCCATTTTATATTCCAAAAACGATATCTAAAAGAATTTATTATTGGATAAGGGCATAGCAAACGAAAGAGATAACAAAAATTTCCTTCACATTCTAATAATTGATAAATAACAATCGTTATTACTGTTGAATTATACCGTGTACTGTATAGTTCAAATTCTTTAGAACGTCGCTTTTGAAATATAAACTGAAAATCTATTCGGTCAGAAACTCTTGCACATTGCCGTATGTTCAAACAAACGCAACGATTCGTGTTATAAAATAAACGACATATGCGAGATCGTCCGAAAAGTTTCTTTCGTTTCATAAGGTGATAACAGATGAACAACAATTTCTGTTTTATATTATTTTATCGAATTAGGTGTGACCCATTTCGTTCTATCTCTATTATTATGTTCCTGCGTAATTCAATAAACTAATATAAAAGAAAAAGCATTGTGCGTCTATTGTTTCCTTATAAAACAGAAAGAAACGTTTCGGACAACCTAATACATAGCTTCCTTCTCAATACGAATCTTCGATTTTACATTACCAATTTCAATAAATTCCAAGTGTCGAATTATATATTTCTGGTAGTTTCGTGAAACGAGTCTGTGAAAAATAAAAATGCTTTTGTAATAGAACCGGACAGAGGTAACACACGCGCTCCATTTTGTCCTTTCCTTAGTAATCCTAGAGGACATCTTCGGCTGTCTGTTCGAAAGATTTATCGTTACGTCGGGAATATATCGTGTCTACTATGAAATGTAGCACTACGCGTTGGTTTCTTGTAGCTCGGTGCAGTCGGTGGGTTTCACCTCGAGCCACCAATCGTTAGGATAGTGATATTTTTGCAATTCGATGCCTCCTCTAGGGACAGGTATTAATCGACTACCGAACAGTTTCGCCGGTAAGGGAGGAATTATAAGCCGAGGTGGAAAACATTGTAGACTGGGGGAAAATTCGCAGTCCGGAGGCAACACCCTTCTTGTCCAACCTACTCTTCTTACCATTCGTGTCTGCAGAAAAAGAAAGAAATTATTATTTCAAGCGTTAAATAATTAAGTAATGTCGAATACGTAACGTAGTTTGAACGTGTTTTTTAATTTTGTACGCGTAGTATAGCTGAAATGTGAACTACTTTGGTATAGTTAGATATTCTTCTTTGAAACAAATTGATTATTTTAGGCAAGCTTGAAGAATTTAGTTATTTAATGAAATTCTAAGCGGCCAATTTTTGAGAATTTTTAACGTTCAATGTTTCAAACAACGCGTGTATTCTAAATAGAAAATATTAGTTCTATTCGCTGTAAACTTAATTTCATCGTTAGAACTTTTACTTTTGCGTCATAGTTGGGTATAGTAAAAGATGAAATATAATTGTTCGCTATGGTGTGTCAGAACGAAAAACATTTGAAATAACCTTAATATCTTGATGTTCTAGATTCTTGTCCTTCTATGCTGCAAAGCGATCTTTAAAAGTTTATATCGTACGTACTAAAGCCGAGCAATGTTAATAAAAGAAAGTTCAACGGTTTATTGCCGAAAATAATGCCAAACGATAACTTTCTGTTGTCCTAGTTGTCTGATATGTAAAACACATCTCGTAAACCGTAGGTGATGTTCACACAGTTTGGAGTTTACAACTCGTAACGGGAGATCGTCATTAACATACGAATCTGATATTTTGTGAGAAACAGAACTGTTTGCAGATAGTAAAGTAACGTAGCTTCTAACGTACTCGTTGGCATACAACTTTCAAGTATCTCGTATCCTTGTCCCTTGTAAATCTTCCATTTCATAAAACAAATTACAGTATTCGTTTGGCAGAAAATGATTTATACAAAATATCTGTACTTGTTTCAGTTATATTCTTGTACTAACCGCATATTCTACGTTTGCGCTACTAAAGTACAAAACGAAAACATAGTGATAAAACTTGCCACAGCATCCTTCTCGAAGACGACGACCTCCACCTTGGGCGCATCTTCGCCGACCCCGTGTTCCTGGATTCGATACACACCGGCCGCGTGCAGGTATGTAGCGCTCAAAGCAGCTTGACGGAATGCTTTCGTGATTAGGACATCGTCTCTGAGAGTGTCGACCAAGCAAAGCTCGACCTTACGTGCCCATGGCAAGGCACGACCGATTCGAACTTGACCCCAGAGTCCTCCGAAGCACAGAAAGTGCACGATGCTCAGTTTCGCTAGCACTAAGTGGACCCTAATGGAGTCACACACGACAAAAGAGTTGAACGAACGATAGCTTGGTGAAACTCGTGACGAGAGAAAACCGTGCCTAGTGAAAGTTTCGCTTTAGTCAGGCAGACGAATTTGACGGTTCGTCACCTCGTGATTGAAGCGAACTTTCGGTGATCATAGCTCGGCTCGATTTGATCGTGCAGTCAGCTATAAAATTGTTAGCGAATGTGCAGATAATGGTTGGTGAAATTGAGGAATATTTGAAAGCAGAGATGCTCGGTCTATCGGTCGATGAAATTGTTTATACGGAGAAATATACGTTCATGAACATATAAATACTTTATACAATTAATTAAAGCGTAAGACAAACAAACAGAAGTGGAAATCGTGTTGTAAAAAATCATATATATCGTGTACGTATGATTGTTCCTAGCGAAAAAGTTAGTTAGGATCAAAGGTAAACAAAAGAGTAGTTTATTTAAGCAAATCGTTGTAACAAAAATGGGAGACAGCATTCTGGTATCTTTAAAATCATAGCTGCTCGTAAAACACAGGATTAACTAATTAGTCAACGTGCTTACATAATTACACATAATATAGGCAATAATTTAATAATAAGCAAGTAGTAGAGGATCGCAGAACAAACTAGCATGCCAGCACAAAGGGGAATTAACCCACGTGTTCAGACGTAAACTTATCTACAGCCAGTAACTAGAACTCAATCGTATGGACCTGTAGGTAAGTTCGTGTAGTTTCTCCGTGAATTCCTCGGGCACGCTGCACGGTTGCTGAGGTGTCTCTTGCCGACTGAGGCTGTACCAAAACAGCATGATCATGAGAAACAGCGCCGCGAACGCTTGTAGCGGAGTGATACGAAATCGTCTGCGGGACCAAAAGCTCATGCTGGTAACCTTAAACATAAAGAAGCGTCGTCGTCAGCTCGAGCGTTCGTCATTAGAATCAACAGAATCTCGTCGATTAAAATAAACGCAACTGTTCATCCACGATCAACCATCGAGAAAGAAATCTTTCGATCGAACAAATTCACAAACGATCCTAACACCCCGGATCCAACATCGTGACGACTAATCATTGCGTAATTGCGAGGAACGACGCGAGCAAAGGCATCGCGACGCTACGAGATCGTGCAGCGACGTGTGCAAACGCGACGTAAAACGGACGCATGGCCTCGCGTGTCCACTAGGCCCGTCCAAATTCACGTTCTCGCGACACTGCTTTTTTTATCACCCTTGTCGCGCACCACCATCACCGAATATTTGCGATTCCGCCGTAACTAACCCCCACTATCCACTTTGTACGCCGAATGCCCGCTAGAACCGGCAACGTTGCAACCAATCGATTTTCCTACCTTACCGACGGGTAGTTCTTGATCGGTGGCGCCATAGTTGGACCGATTGGTCAAACTGTTCGCGCACTATCCAGCGGCAAGATGCCCTTGTGATTCTCTCAACTGGAATTTCGATCTATTATCCACTCGACACGGGGAAAAGTAGAGTACGAAAATAAATGCACCGACGTGCTTGCTCCGGTTTCTTTCATGGGAGGAGAGAAGTTTATCATTTTGATGGGTGGTTCGTCGAAGAATCTAAGTTAACCGATGCGGGAAAGGGAAACGCGGCAAACGTTGGAGACTTTTGCGGCGTTGCGGTTCGCACGTGACTGTACCAGAAATAGTTTTTCGCCTTTGGAATCTTAACGGATCGACGCCGCGTAGATTTCCGTATTCCTTTTTCACTCTGTTCCCCCTTTTCCTTTGTTTCTTTTTGTTTTGTACGTACAGGTCTTTGTACAAAGAAAAATTCACAAGGCAAGGGGTTGATCTCGCAGTTGCATAATTCGACGATGAGAACTCTATATCGAAATAGGGAACTTCGCGATGCAGCATTTAACATGATAAAATGTTTCCAGAATAGTTTCATCTGTACGAATGCTGCATCGGAATATTAAATTGGTACGTAATTCAGCATTTCAATAATTTTCGATAATGCACATTGTTGTACATTTATAAACGGCTGATAGTCGTGTGGGGTCAAATACGTTTGACCAGAATGGCAAAATGAATGTGTAATATTACAGGGATCATGCTCGTACGCGAAATACCAGACAGATCAAGCAGAACGAAACGAAATTTCATATATGGCGAAGTTTAAGCAAAAAGTTGCGATGGAAGCTATTAAACACGGATGCACGGAATAGGTGGTGTATTACGTGTACGCAATTCTTGCGCACGAGGATACCGTTACAAAGATAAACGTCGGTTTAATGGAATATTTGCCCCTGCGTCTGTCATAAAGAAACTATGCATTCTTTCAAGCACACTGTGACTCTGCATTTTTATTCTACCTTTTCCTTATGCGCCTCCGCGTAAGAATTCAAATTCTTCGCTTTATCCCTTAATGTACTGCTTTATGTTTCAGTATATTTTGTATCATGTTACATTTAATACTTAATTCGAACGATATTAGACGGTCACTGTGATTTTACAAATATTTTATAAAACACAAAGAAAAACTATCCAAACTTTATTTTATACTTTGTACATACGCTCTAATCTTTTCTAATAATTCGTTTCTCCGCATCAGCACGATTTGTACCGTTCGTTCTTATTTACCAATTGAACTAATTTTGCATTGATCGTAATAACATCGAGGTGTTAATCGATGTTAGTCTTCCCATTGCTGTTTGAAATTATCAGTTAATTACAAGCTGGTTTTGGACAAAATTTTCCGAAAGAAATTTCCTCATTGACAGTTGCTGCGAAGGGTCGTACACCATTTAGGGATGACTAGCGTTCGCAAATTCGTCAACGCGGGAACGGGTTTAAAAATAAGACGTAGCCTCGAAAATGTGGCGCGTCTATTGGCGTTTCTGCTCATTAAGATAATTGAGTGGGCTCAAGGCTTTGCCGCGATAACTCATTCAGAAGCGTCGTTCCCTCGGAAAAAGTAAATACAAAGAAAACGAAAGTGTACAAGAGGCTACGTGTTCGCTGAATGTGTTCCACCGAACGAGTAACAAAACTACCGGATAATTCATCGCGTTCGCGTTGGCAATTTGATTCTCTTCCTACTACTCGTTTACGTACGTCACTCTAATAAATAGGCAACGTAAAAATTTCATTTTTCCTACATGCAAACTTCGATTTAATCTTAAACAAAAACCTGAACATTAATCTTCAAGCGAGATACCGAAGATTACGAGAAAAGCAAGCGAGATACCGTAATTACAAAGATCGATCGGTCGAACTTGATCGTTCGCGAGGCCTGCTCATTCGCGAACTCGTATTTTTTCCGCGCTTTGTTCAAACGTTATTATTAATTTAGGTTCCCCGGAACCGGGAGGAGCCCTCCGTTCACCGAATTGAAGCGTTTCTCCGTGCCGTAAGCGGACGTGAAAAGAAAAATTGCGGCGAATGTCGTGGAACCGGGCGGGACCTTAAAACAAACGTTTCGACGACGCGCTTTTCTCTCCTTCTAATTTTATCTCGCCGCCTCCCTCCGTGCTGCTTAGCCGTGTATTTTCGTAACACGTGTCACCTACGTATAGGCACCTTATCTCCGTGGTTAACGAACACACGAGTGTACTTGGCGATCTTTCGAACACGTGTACGAGCTCATCCCTCTTGTTTCGGTTCTAATGCTTCGCTTGCCCCACCTTTCTCAAACGAGTTTGCGCCTCGCGCTGGTTAAACGATCAGCCCGTTGTTAGAACCGCCATTGTTGCAACGTTGTCGTTGACGATCGCGTAGTACATGAAAATTGCGATGTGTAAGAGAAACTGTATAAAGTAACTGTGCAACTTGTGAACACGAAACCCAAAAGAAAATGGAAAGATGGGAAAAAGAGGACGTAGAAATACGAGACGAAACTAGTTGTGCCTCGTAGGTCCGTGTAAAATCGAGCGAGTTAATGGTCCCTATCCTGTGCATCGAGCGAAAAGAAAAGAAAAACGCAACCGAGACCCGCGCGGAATCGCGAAGGTTTATACGTGTCGATTGATTGGCGCATTCCATTTTAAACGTCGTGGCGTTTCCTCTCGCGCCGCTAATCGTCGCTTCGATTTTCTCTGGCGACATAACAGCCAGCCATGTTTTTCCCTGATAATGAACTCCGGTAATCTCGACTGTTGTCGAGTGGTTCGCTCTTTGTACGGTGCCGACCGTGTAGAAAGTTCGTTGGTTTTTAGCGAACGATGCAAAATACTTAATAAAATTGCGATCTTAAACGGCCGGTAGCTTAAGAAATCGTAAAAATAGTTTGCTCGGTTGAAAAACGATAAAGGTCGGAGCAATTTTAATGACGCGTAAATCATCGTGTCCGTTCGCAAAGCGAATTATTAGAAGGACCGAAATTCACAGGAATATTTCGAATTTATCCTACCGATGAATTCGATAAATGCCTATCGGATATTGACGCGGCAGTAATTAACCCCTCGGGAACATCGACGTTTCGAACGTCAAAACGCTGTTATTCCATTGCGAGTCGTTTTACGCATCGCGCGTCGAGAACATTCCTCTCATTCGATAATTACTTGCGTAATAAAAATATGACGCGGTGCCTTTATAAAGATAAAACGACGAAAGCCTTTCTATCTGAATAAATGAGATATCGTCTATTCTAAATCAGAGTAATTTTCTATAAATACTCGAATTTCACCGCCACTATGAATTTAAAATAGAAATGGCATAATTTTTAAATCGACCACGTCGTGGGTAAAATCGAACTACGCTTAGAGTGATTCGTAATTCGCGGTACGCATAGGTTCGTTCTACGTTTCGAAATGAAACGAAAATCAAGAAGAATATGAAAAATTGCGTTGGAGCGTTCGTTTTTGAAAAAGAGAAAACGAGTGCGAAAATTAGTTGCTTCGTTTCAGGCTGTACGCACGTGGATGGATACCGTGATATTTAACAGTGTCGTGAACAAAAGAGAATTGAAAAGGAACCGAATAAGATTACCGGCGCCACGATAAATCCGTTGCCCTGGGATACCTTAACGACATTGTTGTCGCGTCTGACTTTAGCTGGCTATAAAATTCGGACCTGGTTTAATGTGAAATAAATGAACAAATTCTCAAGATGCCGCGTGTGGTCAGCCAAAGCCCGAACTCGCGCAACGGTCAACCGTTTTACGAGCTATAAACCTTTTTTCGCTATTGTATCGAGAAAGTTGGTACGGAGAGCGTACGCCTGTAATTCGCTTCTTCGAAGCTAAAGAGACAGAACGTTTGGTTTTTAAAAAGCACCGCCTTTTTCTGCCTACGTTTGGTCACGGTTTGAACCGTGGCGGGCGGTTTATGCGTTTTCCTGCCTCTTATCTAGATTTCGTCGCGACTCTTCTTCCTCCTGGCGAGAAAGAAGCTGCGGGATCAATTTGAGAGGGTTCCCCGAGGAGCAACCGACGGAGGGCGAACAAGGGAGGCGCGGTCCCTCGGGCACGTGATGAGAAAACTTGTTCGGTAAATGTACGTATTTGTTTGTTGGACGGATACGCGTGTCGGTGCTTAAAGATTGCCGCGTATTTGTGCCTGCTCGATGATGGGGAGGTATTATATATTCGAGAAGGGATACGGATTTAGCGGAGAGACGCGAAAGGGACTTTGTTGGTTAAGATCTCTGTTTAAGAACGATCGTTGGTATTTCTGGCAATTATTTTCTTCTACAAACACATTGAGTGATAGTAGTACCTTAGCCGCAATAATCAGCACGTGTTTCGAAATTATCGAGTTTATCCGGTGACAAATTTTATTCGTCTGCGCATATTTTTATCAAAAATACAGAAATATACAATTGCGTGGTATTATAACGCGATACGCGTACGTAAGATGTACAGCTTCCGTCAAACTTCGCGAAAACCATCGTTGGTTCTCCGAATTACTTGGATACTTCCCAGTCTATCTAACAATTCGCTAATCGAATTAGCTAAAAGCCTAGAGTCCCGGTCGATCGTTTAACAAATTCCACTACGTGCAAAGAACGACCAACAAATATCGCGAACCCGACCGAACCTCTTATTCTTGCGCCCCTTGTTCATCCACCGTAACCCACAGGGTCTCCCCCTCTTTATTTCAGAGTCTTTATCGTCCGACGGTACTTATACGTCCGATATTCTCTGGTCGATGGAGAAAAACGGGCAAGATTGATCGCGAGCAACAAAGGAAGGCAGATTAGTGGTTTATCGATGAGTGATCTTCGAAAACGACATCGAGCGTGGGTGGGGATGGGGCTGGGCGTAAGGAACGGAGGGGCTGCTGGAGCAAGCGGGGACGCGAGTTGCATTTCAATGGACCCAGCGCGTACGTAAAAGTGTTTCGTG